CCCCCCCCCCGCCTCTGCTAGGCAGAGATGCGGCCGGGCGTCCTGGGCCGCCTGTGCTTTTGGTCCGGTCCCCAGGGGCGTGTGTGCGGACGTCTACGGAGCTTCCAGACCCTCAGGTGCCTTTTTGCGCAGAATTGTATTTAAAGGGCGGAGATCCAGGGCTGTTGAGTTAGGACCGTATTTTTGAATCCCAACGCCGCCACTGACCAGTCTGGGGTTTGGGTCCAAAATATTCTGATTTGTTAAATGGTAATAATAATGCATATATTGTACGGTTGTTGTGAGGGTAGGTATAACCAAAGAGGGAGTGCTGGGTAAATGGTAGCTATTAGGAGCAGCCCTGGTCTAGCATCTCTTGTTCGGTATTTCTAATTCTTAAATACGGTTGTGAGTTTGGGGGCACATTTATTTCTGAACTGGTTTGGTGTTGCAATATACCTTTACTGGAGTTGCTTAAATATCGGAGCCTGTTATCTTGCGGCGGCCAAAATAGTAGAATTCTGTGGTCTCTTCCTAGAACCCTGTATTCTCTTTCTAGCAAGGGCTGACTTGGAAACCTGTCTCAGATACCGAGTGGGAATTTGCTGCTGTATTGAAACCTAGCGAATTCGGGATTACTTTAGGAGGGAAGATGGTGGGACACATAAACTTCAAATGCCTTGCTGTTTAATCTTAAGTGACTCTTGAACTCTATCACTTGTTACAGAGTATAAACACACGAAGAGTATGGAAACAGACTCTTTTTTTTTTTTTTGCTTTGCTACATCCGGAGGGTGTGACAAGTACTTTTGTAAACATCATTGTGGACAGTGTAAATGTCTGGTGAAGTCATCATAATTAAATTAGATGAGTACTTATTTGAAGTGTTGAATGGATGTTTGGAAATGTGATTCCTAATCAGACCATTTCCAGCGAGTCAGAGTTCTCAGCAGTTCATTAATCATGTGGGGATTTTTACGCTACATTGTAAGATTTTATGGTAGAAGCTGCAGAGTTTTTAAGTCCAGATAATGTAGCAGAGGAGAATGGTCAGGGTAATAAACTTAACCTAGTTTGAGAACAGCCAAGTATGGAAGAAAGTAAAAATCTTAAGGTTTAAAACTAGAATTGTATTTGCCAAAGCCAAGATGATTGAAGAAACAAAAATTTTAGTTGACACCCCTGTTTCACACTCAGACTTTACCTTCAGGGTGTTTTTTAGAAGTGGAGATTAAGTTGGGTTTTAATTATTGCTGTATTGCACCTCCAGCTTTTCTTAGAGACTCATTCATAAAGACTTTTGCTCCAGTTTGCTTTGTGAATGCCAAGAAAATACATGGGGAAAAAAAAACTCTATAGTCTAAATTATGTTCTTCCCTGAAATCTTCCTTGTTGTCTAGCTTACACTGTTGAACTCCATAGCAGAACCACTGCTAGCCACTGTGAAATGGCTAGAGGTCACAAATCACGTGTTAGTTCTAGGTCTCCAACAGGTCAAAATAGCTGGGGCTGTAGGGTGTACCCAGCCTTTCTGGGCCTTGCTTTTTTTTTTTTTTTTTTTGGTTGTTGTTGTTTTGAGACTTTGTTGCCCTGGGTGGAGTGCCCTGTCATAGCCCATGGCAACCTCATCTCTTGGGCTCAAGAGATCCTCTTGCCTCAGCCTCCTTGAGTAGCTGGGTCTACAGACCCCTGCCACAAAGCCTGGCTTGTTTTTCTATTTTTAGTAGGGATGAGGTCTTGCTCTTGCTCAGCCTGAGCTCCAGTGATCCACCCACCTTGGTCATCCAGAGTGCTAGGATTACAGGCATGAGCCACTGTGCCCAACTTTTCTTTCTTTCATTTTTCGAGACAGAGTCTTACTTTGTCACCCTTGGTAGAGTATGGTGGTGACATAGCTCACAGCAATCTCAAACTCTTGGGCCCAAGTGATTCTATTGTTTTAGCCTCCCATGTAGCTGGGACTACAGGCGCCCTCTACAACGCCCAGCTCCTTTTAGACTGGGTTTCACTCTGGCTCAGGTTGGTCTCGAACTCCTGAGTCCACCTGCCTCAGCCTTCCAGAGTGCTCAGATTACAGGCCTGAGCCACCGTGCCCGGCCCTGTCTTTACTTTCTATATCTATATTCTTTTTGAGTGTTCTTATTTTGTTCTGTGGTTTAAATATATACATACACTGTTGATTCTCAGATTTTAAGCTCCAGACCTGAATTTCAAATTTCTCCCTGCCTATATAACACCTTCACTTTGTCTGTTTATAGATGGAGGTCTTGATTTCCATTCCTCAACCTGTTATTTCTCTAGCAGTCTTATTTCATAGAACACCACTCCCTACTCCCTTGAATGAAAAAAAAATCTAGTGGTTGGCCTGGCAGGGTGGCTCACACTTGTAATCCTAGCACTCTGGGAGGCCAAGGTGGGTGAATAGCCTGCACTCACAGGTTAGAGACCATCCTGAGCAAAATCAAGACCCCATCTCTACTAAAAATAGAAAAACTAAGGCAAGAGAATTGCTTGAGCCCAAGAGTTCGAGGTTGTTGTGAGCTGTGAGGCCACAGCACATTTATCCAGGGGCAACAGCTTGAGACTCTGTCTTCCAAAAAAAAAAAAAAAAAAATCTAGTGGTCATTTTTTTTTTTTGGTAGAGACAGAGTCTCATTCCATTACCCTCAGTAGAGTGAGACACTGTCTTCCACAAAAAAAAAAAAGAAAAGAAAAAAATCTAGTTGTCATTTTTTTTTTTAGACAGCGTCTCGAGCTGTCGCCCTGTGGTGTCATAGCTCACAGCAACCTCTAGCTTCGGCTCAAGTGATCCTCTTGCCTCAGTTTTTCTATTTTTAGTAGAGATGGGCTCTGGCTTTTGCTCAGGCTGGTCTTGAACTTGTGAGCTCACGCAATCCACCTGCCTCAGCCTCCCAGAGTGCTAGGATTATAAGTGCGAACACTTTACCTCACTCCTCACCTATTGTACACCTAATCCTCTAGCAAATCCAGTCAATTTTACATCTAAAATATATCTCAGGCTTGGTGCCCCATAGCACAGTGGTTATGGGACGAGCCACGTACACCAAAGTTGGTGGATTCGAACCCAGCCCGGGCCAGCTAAAACAACAATGACAACTGCAACAAAAAGTAGCTGGGTGTTGTAGCAGGCTACTTGGGAAGCTGCGGCAAGAGAATCACTTAAGCCCAAGAGTTTGAAGTTGCTGTGAGCTGTGATGCCACAGCACTCTACCAAGGGCAACATAATGGGACTCTGTCTCAAAAAAAAATATATATATCAAATACATTAATTTTATTTTTATTACCTCTTCTTCAGTTCTTTCTGGGTAGTAGCTTCCTAACTGATCTCCTTTCCCCTGACTTGCTTCATTTTTCACATACCAGTCAGAGTGATATTTATTTATTCTTTTTTTTTTTTATTAAATCATAGTTGTGTGCATTAATACTATCCTGGGGTATGGTGTGTTGTTTCTATATACAGTTTGAAATAACTGGTTAACATTGCTTTCATGTCATTTTCTTAGTTATTGTATTAAGACATTTGTATTCTACATTTAGAAAGACTCACATGTACCCCCATAGGATAAACCATAGATGTGATTACTTATTCTTCTGTTCCAGTGGCTTTTTGTTCGATTAAGAAGTAAAGTCAGACTTTATCTGTTTATCTTGCTTTTACTTATTTTTATTTTTAAAAAGTAGTTTTTTTTTACAGACAGAATCTCAGAAAATGTTGCCCGAGCTGGATTATAGTGGCTATTCACAGGCCAGTTATAATGTACTACTGCCTTGACTCCTGGCCTCAAGTAATTTTCCCACTTCAGCTTCCCTGGTAACTGGGACTACAGGTGCACGCCATCATGCCTGGCTAATTTTTACATTTTTTCTTCTTTTTTTTTGAGACAGAGTCTCAAGCTGTTTCCCTACGTAGAGTGCCATGGTGTCATAGCTCTCAGCAGCCTCCAACTCTTGGGCTCAACGGATCCTCCTGCCTCAGTTTTTCTAATAGAGGTCTCACTTTTGCTCAGGCTGTTCTTGAACTCTTGGGCTCAAGAAATCCTCCTGCTTTGGCATCCCAGAGTGCTAGGATTACAGGCATGAGCCACCTCGCTCTGCCAAATTATACTTTTTCTGAAGTGGCCTTTCTACTTTCTCATAATTAAGGTCTGTCTTCCTGGATCTTCCAGCCATTGAGTCCAGCTTTACTCTTTAGAATGGCTCTAAATTGGTATACTTCCTCCTTAACTTGTTCTCAGATTATGTTATCATCTCCAGTTAAATAATTCTAAGTCATAATCTTATTTATTTTTTTTAGAGACAGAGTATCACTTTGTTGCCTTCCATAGAGTGCTGTGCTGTCACAGCTCACAGCAACCTCCAGCTCTTGGGCTTAGGCAATTCTCTTGCCTCAGCTAGGACTACAGGTGCCTGCTACAACACCTGGCTACTTTTTTTTGCCGTTTGGCTGGGGCCAGGTTCAAACCTGCCACCCTTGGTATATGGGGCTGGCACCCTACTCACTGACACTGAGCTGTAGGCGCTGCCCTTTTTTTTTCCTGGAGACAGAGTCTCATTATGTCACCCTCGGTAGAGTGCCCCGTGGTGCCACAGCTCACAACAACCTCCAACTCTTGGGCTCAAGGGATTCTCTTGCCTTAGCCTCCCAAGTAGCTGGGACTACAGGTGCCTGCCACAACGCCTTGCTATTTTTTTGTTGCAGTTGTTTAGTTAGCCCTGGCCG